ATATATATATATATATATATATATATATATATATATATATATATATGATTTACGTTTTATTTATTGTCTTTTAAAAACAAGAGTCAAACACAATATAAATATACATTTAAACTACATGACAGTATTTCAAGTTGTTAAAGTTATCCCTACCGTAACAACGTTAAAGTTATATTTAAATATGTTTACGCAACAGTAACATTTTATTTTCATGTCTTTTAAGATCAAGACTCCTACAATAGACGAGCTTTTATTTTGGTTTCCGTCCCTGAACAACCAGACGTCTGTTTGTCTCTGTCGGGCTTTAAATGTCGTCGTGGCCTCGCGTCTGTATTTCTGTCTGTGTGAAGCAGATCAACTGTTCGGCCCAACAACGAGCTATTATTTGCGGTACGCTCCAACGTCTTGTTCGTCAGAGGGATGTTCCTCGGTGTTGGGTTACCGCCAACACGTCCAGCTAAACCCTCCAGAGACAATCCTACACACACACACGCGCACGCGCACACACACACACTTGAGACAAAAAGAATTAGGCCCCAAATTTAACCCTGCCGATATTATTGCGTCTCCAGAGCGACCCGTTGTTTTGTCACGTGTTCCCGGGCCAGCGATGTGTGGTGGATTCCTGTCTGACGTGTTTTTAAGACGAGCCCGCTGTCATTTATTTTCTCTTCTGCATAATGAAGATGTGAGGGACAGCTGAGGCTCCAGGAATAGTAGTCTTAATCCGCCGCCTCGTCACAAGCAGCTCAGCCAAACACTGTGTGGCCTCCGAGTACCTCGAGAAGTGGCCTCACGTCCTCGAAAACCTGGTCCTGAAAGGGGGTCGGCTTACTCAGAGGGGAAGTGAATGTGAATGCAGATAGAACATGAGTATTTCCATTTTATCTCACTTTTACGTCACTACATTTTCTGACAATCAGACTTAGAGTTTTAAATTAAAGAATCATACGACACATTTATAAAACACAATCCATTTCGATCAGCCAGACCACATCCCGAGGTGGTCTAGTTCACACCGAGTTCAGATCTCAGTGAGGTGAGGACAGCATGTGGACACAATCCAGACTATTTAAACCACATGCAGTTCCTCAAAGGGAAGAGAGGGCTGCTGCTTCAAAATAAAAGCTTTTAAAATACCAGGTAACGGGGACTTTTATTGTGAAGAATTTATAGTAAAATGTGTTCACTACCAAATTAGTGTAGCTTTTGTTAGCGGCTATTTTTCAATAAAGCAAGTCAATTAATACTACAGGGAGGAAGCGTGAGCAGCAAAAATACAAGAGACTTTTATTGTGAAAAATGTACAGGAAATGAAATACGTTTATCACCAAATTTGCGAAGTTCGTAAGCAGCTATTCTTCAACAAAACAAGTCTAAAAATACTGCAGAGAGGAAGAGTAAGCCGTAAGAATAAGAAGTTACTTTTATTGTTGAGAATTTACGTTGACTACTAAAATGAAAACCATTAAAAGTAAAACGTTCTGATCCGACTCATCCAATCACATAAGTCACATTAAAAAGACAAGACACGTGTAATGGTGGCAACGGTTTAAAGCTCAGAGAAGAAAAAGTTTAAAATATTTCACGCAAAAAAAGAATTTCTCTCCCTTTAATCATCTCAGGACCCCTCAGATCCATCTGGTGACCCTTCGGAGGGGCCCGACCCCTTAGGTTGGGACCCACTGGACTAAACTAAACTGTATAATAAGTATTTAAAAGTAACTCCACAACAGCAACATGCTGCTTCAGTATTAATAATCTCACATCACAATGAACATTTTACTGCGATGTAGTTTGAATGCAGGACTTTGACTTGTTGCTGAGTATTTGTACATCGTTGTTCTGGTACTTTTACGTAAAAGATCAGAGTACTTAGATTGTGTTGGTTGTGTTTAACTGTATTTATTTTTAAATGTCCTGCTTGGCTCTCTGAGGTTTCTCTCAATAACATGTTGGACAACAAAGTTTCCTCTGAAGTGCTCAAAGCAATGAAAAAGTACATTTAAATAAATCATCCGTGATGGGGTTTGAAACCAGTTGTATCTGTGTTTTGGGAGGTTTGAGACCTGATTAGTTGTGTCTGGGTTGGAGGACTTGTTGTGCAGACTGCTTGTACTTAAACTTACTAAAAGTAATGCACTGTAATTTGTATATAATATCTTATTCGTGAGCCAAGACGACCTGGGAAACAAACAAAAACAAGACTAAAAAATCTTGAAAAGCGTTGGAAGGATGGTCGTGATATGTCTTTGTCTCTGAGTTTTGGACGAGCTGGAGACAGTAAATGGGTTTTTGGTTGAGCCCCAAATACATTAAAACTACAATAATCCATTTTTAGAGCTTTCCCACCATGAGGTGAGACTTTAAAATACATTAGAACCTGTTGGTGGCGCTAGAAGAAAAGCCAGAGAGGATCACCAAAGTCCTCATGAGTCACCCTCTCTGGATCGTAAATGTCCGAAAGCTAAATTTTAATGCTAATCTGTCCAATAGCTGTGGAAGCATTTTTGCAGCGTGCCACAGGTGTCTGGACAGAGATCCCCTCAGAGCCGTGCTGCTAAAAATACAGCGGTCCGGTCCTTAAGGCTTTAACGCGGCCTCGGTTACAAAGTTCAGCTCCACTCAATGTCCTGCAGTTAACTTTGAAGTCTTAAGATAGAATGAACATGAACATGAGACCAGCAGGACGGAGCAGACGACACTTCAGACATACTTCAGACGTACTTTTATTTATTCATTTTATACAGTTATTATATTTACAGTACATTTCATAAGAACACATGAAATACTTTAAAACAAGGACACCAATATATAAAACCAGCAAACAAAGCAAGCTTCAGTTTGACACAATAATTATTTCTGCTGCCGGGAGACGCGTTCGTCTGTTTCAGGTGGGAAGACATTCTTTGTAACACAGGCCAATATGTCGCAGGACTCTGTCAGCTGATTGGCTGTTGCTCACATGTATATAAGAAGTGGACGTTGTCACCGTGACATCACCCATTGGTTGGTGGACTGCCGTTCTGAAGCCTGGAGTTCGGTATTTCGGTCGCCGCCATCTTGGTTTTTGATCGCCACCATCTTGGTTTTTGGTCGTCGCCATCTTGTTTTTTTGCAACCAGATGTGACACCTGACGGTGGGGTACAACTGAATGCTGATTAAGATATGTTTAAGGCGACCAAAATGTTACAATTAACTTTGAATGAAGTAAAAACAAGAACAACTCCCAGACTGGACAACGCTGTGGTAGAGACCTGTCAATCACTGTGTAGCCCCGCCCTAAAGCATCCCCTGCTTTATGGTCTGTTTGACTCTAAATGGACCATAATGTACTAAATGAACATCATGCTGTATTGAAGAAGACTTGAAACTAGAGATTGAGACCATAAACTCATGTTTACAATGTTTACTGAGGTAATAAATCAAGAGAGAAGTAGAGTCATTTTCTCATAGACTTCTATACAACCAGAGGAGTCGCCCCCTGGTGGACACTAGACAGAATGCAGCTTACAAGGTTCCATGATTTAACAAAGGTCTTCCATATATTCTCTTCGGTGATTGTAATGTTGTTAAATGTGTGTATCCTTGAAATTGTAGCTTTTGTCAATGTTGCAAATGGTCTAAAGGTCGACAAACTGACACAACACAAAGATCTCTCGTTTTTCTTAATACTGAACAACTCCTCAGAAAAAATGCCCATAAGATTATGAAGGAGCCCAGGAGGGGCCACACCCAGCCCAAAGTAAGGGCTTAGTGGGCCTCCAATGGGCTCTATTGTGGGCCCACACCATGCCATCCCTGGGTCACACTGTGGGCATGTAGTGGGCATACTGCGGGCATACTCTGTGACTTTAAGCTGCTGCCATCAGGAAAGTGTTTCAGATCGTGTTTCATACAAAACAAATAGGAGGAAGTTTGCATCTACATTTTAAGAAGTTTATCCGAAGTGTGATTGTTGTCTTTTTTTATCGTAAATTAAAAGGTACAAATGAAATTTTAATGCTGTCCTTTATGTGTTTTGTTGTTTTTTTCATCAGATAAAATCCGGTTCCTGCTGCCAAGATGGCCTGCGAGTGAGTTAACAGTTTGATATGTGTTAATACGTTCATTGTTCGGGTTCTTATACTCGTCAACACATTTAGCAACAAGTGAGGAACTTTTCAAACAATAAAATACGACACTTTTGTACATTTTATGGACTATTTTCTCGTTAACTGCAAAACTCATCTGAACAAGAAAACACATGTTTCTGATCAACTGACGTGTTTTTATTGTGTGATAACAGATTTATAACAACAGATTTATAACAACAGATTAATAACAACAGATTTATAACAACAGATTAATAACAACAGATTTATAACAACAGATTCATGGATTTATTTATGTCATAATGGCCTGAATGTCTGATTCACATCTTGTGTTTTCACCTGCAGGAAAAGACTGTCTGCGAGGCGTAAGCACACTCTGAAGGTAAGAAATGAGTGCGTTTTTATGTTGATTTTATTTTTGACGAAGAAGAGCAGAGATGCTGTTTTGAAGTTGTATCTTAAAATATTTAAAAGTTGAACGTCGGTGTCGTCCACAGGGATGTATGCTGCTGGTGGCCACCAACATGCTGGAGGCTGAAGCCGGGGTGAAGGTCGGGGAGAGGGAGAAGTTCCTGTCTGATAAATGTCCTGCTCTGGAGCTGCCGTACTCCAAAGAAGAGCTCGAGGTGAGACAGAACCAGAACCAGGACCAGAACCAGGACCGGGACAAACTGCTGTCAGCTTTATGTGATGCACTACATATGAAAAGTTTATTTACTTCAATAACAACAGAGATACAAACATTATAATTCAGACACCAGATGTTTTCTTTACATGTGAACTAGTTTAAATGAAACGATCTAAACTTCCTCACTGAGTCACATGACAGAATAATGATGAACTAGTTTCATTATTGATCAGTAAATATAGATTGAAGAGGTTTAAACTGTGATTAGATCAGCTGATGTTCCACCAGTAACTCTAGACGAACCTTCTGTTTATATGTGAAGTCTGAAGTTAATTGTTGATTCCAGCTTGTTCTCTGAACTAAATAACATCTATTAGTGAAGAGACTTTCTACAAAATAAAAGCATCATTGAGACATGTAGAGTCGTCCTCTAACACATATGGCGTGTATTATATTCATATTCTTTGTCAAATAGCATAATTCCCGCCACACACTTTAGCAGATTTTGTTTTGTCTCTGTTCTGTTGGTTAGATGACAATATTTGAGCCCAAATTTGGTTAAATCAATTTGCTAAAAGTTTGCAATCAGCCATAAAAATGACTAAAATCCTGTTTTCTCTTCAGGAGCTTTGCAAGAAACTCCACGATCAGATTGACATCAGTGAGGAGGAGCGATACAGCATAGAGTTCAAACTCAACCTGGTCCTCAATGAGGTGAGACGCTTTTTATTCACGTCTGTTTGTGACGTTAGCAAGCAGCTCTATGAGGCGTTCGCCTTCATTTACTTTTTACATTAACTCGATTCAAAATAATACATTCGTAGAATGAAGGAGGAAATACACGATGTGCTGTTATAGTTGTTTTTTTAAGCTATCAGAATTACATTTATTGTACACATAACAGGAGCTAGTAGGACTCCAGGTTTAAGTTTCTCTTGTTGTACCGACACATAGAAAATGTCATAGACATACAGCTGGACACAAGGACAACAAAAGCTGAATAAACAGAACTATTGGTAGTTTTGGAGTAAAGGTCTTGAACCCCCGGGATGTTTTTTTTTTTCAAGCGATTGATTCGCGTCTAAATATATTTTATTTTTTAAGTATTGTTTTTTGTTATGAATACTTTCACACGTGACAAGGTTGATTTTTCGGAGCTTTTTCACCACGAATAAAAGCATCAACCAATCACATTGTAAGGAACGGACATATTCAAATGTACACTACAGTGAAACACGGCAAAAGTTTATTGCTTATTTCAACCTTCATGAAGGCAGCGCAGACCAGATACACTCCCTCCGTTCTTACCTTTCAAAATAAAAGGTCTAGCCATTAAATTAATTAAATACGTGCCTTTGTTACGTACAGTAACATGTGACAATTTTGTAATAGATTGGCTTTAGGAACACTGTGGAATACTTTGATGCTTTCATTGCAGTAAAGATATTTAAATTAAACCGTGGGTACATTTGTTTTCTTTTTCATGTGCAGGAACCTTGTTTGATTGTTTTGTTGGATATTGTGTTTTAAATGTAACTTGCCATCATTTCAAAGTCCCTTTCTATAAAAACGTGAATGTTTTTTCCCCCATGTTTAATCAGGAGAAATCTGTAATGACCACGATAATATAAGATGATTTGACCCATAATAAAGTCTATTCTTCTGTCCTGAATCCTCCTGAAGGTGAGAGACCTCAACATAAAGATCGTGGACATGAGGGGAAAGTTCAAGAGACCCCGTCTGAAGAAAGTGCGCATGTCTGCTGACGCCATGCTGAAGGCTCTGCTGGGCTCCAAGCACACGGTCAACATGGACCTGAGGGCCAACCTGAAGCAGGTCAAGAAGGAGGTCAAGGAGGAGGTGAGCTGCTGCCTGCTTCATCGAAACTTCAGTCCGAAAACAATGACCATCAATATTCTACCGACTCGCTTCCTTGAACCGTGGTTTAGTTTGTTGTCTTGGTTGCTTACAGGCTATCTCCTTTCACTTGCAGCAATGGTTTAAAGATTAATCTGGTTTAATACAACTTGTATTTTTGTATGTTTGGCCACTAGTTATGATGACACTATAGTACTCACCAAGTTTGGTACTGGAATCTGAATTCTTAAAATTTCTATATTACTGCCAATAACGCCTTGTTTTAGTACTGTTAGGTAAACGTTTTTTTCAATTCCTTGTTTTTGTAGTTCTATTTTGTGCTATGACCTCTATCGGGCGTCGTTAGTGGTTAACCCCATCGAGGCTTCTCCAATAGCAAAGCCCAAAAAGGGCTATGCACCTACTCATAGACCTGCAGTTACATCCAGTAACTACTAGTTCCCAAATGTTAAATCTTTGCAAACATCGCCTAAATAGTTGGAGTTATGTATTTCATGAATACACATAAAAATAAATGAATAAGACATTAAATTAAAGGTTAATAAAAGATATTAAAATATTTACCAGTTTAGCATCCTTACCCTCTTTACATAGCATATTCTAACTATAGACTGTCTAAAACAAATGGACGCAGTCACCGTGACGTCACCTGTTTTGATGCCTCGAGTTTGTTATCTTGGCCATCGCTATCTTGGTTTTGTCCTCACTAGAACACTAGTCCTCCTTTAGCTTATTGGAGGAGGAAGTCATGTGACCGTGGTGGAGTTACTTTATAACCTAAAGTTAGCTTTTTACTTGACACTTCAAACATCATAAAGGTGCAGTTCATTAGTGAAGATTATCTTGATGAACAAAACCTGGAAGAATCATAAACGTTTGTTTGACACAGAGATTATTTTGTGGCTTAGAGGCCAGTTTAGGACAAAGTTTGAGCGCTATGCAAAATAAAAACTGAATAATTAAATTAGTATTTTCTGAGAAAGCAGTGAACATGAAAACACAACTTGCCACCATTTACTTTTTTATTTTCTTGTTAAACATCTTTTTACACTCTGATTATTTCCCTCTTTTTCTGTATTTTATCTTTAATGAAACATCATGTGTGTGTTCACAGGACAAGCAGCTGCGTGATGTGGGCGACTGGCGTAAGAACATTGAAGACAAGTCCGACAGGAAGAAGATGTTTGATAGTTAAAATGTGCTCCGTCGTGGATTGTTGGGCTTAAACGAATGCTTTTCAGGACAGAATTCAGGTCAAACGTCTTTGTAAGAGAAGCGTTTTATTCCAACATGCTGCATATCCACCGTAAACCTACCATTGACTTTATTACACAGACGAGACGTGACGGTGATGTGTGAATATCTTGGACAATTTGTCAACGGAAGGTTCACATCTTAAGACATGGTGTTGACGGTGTTTCTAAGCTTCTCGTGTGGTCCAGTAAGTGATGAACGATAATCTCCTCAGTTGGTTTGCAGGATTTTAAAAGTGATGACTGTGCAAACAAATCATTATTTTCAAACCCTTTACCTTTTAATTTAGCCTGTGATAAGTAAAGTGTTTTATCAAAAGTTAAGTTACACAGTGTTTAGTTTGTAAAATCTGTAATAAACCTGTAATAAACCTGCGGTAGATGCGGCGGGTTTCAGGTAGTTCTTGGATATCTTTCGTTGGAACAAAACTCTTTGAATCTAAGCTGCCTTCTGCTTTTGCCTTTATTGACGCTGTACTGTGTTGTGTATTTGTACTGTGTTGTACTGATGTCAGTATTAGTACACGAGGGGTGAATCAAACCTGCTTTTGTATCGTGAAGGCTGACTCATGCTTCTGCATCCAATTGTTATGTTCATCTTTAAACCTACGTGATATTATTTTCTTTTTTTTTACTTTTTCCACAGAAAAGACACAAAAATTGGCATCACATTTACAGTTGATTATGTTAACATGTTCTCTAAAGTTTGACTATTTCAAAATACAATCTATCAACAAATTTGTCTCATTCGTCCTCTGACTGTAGAGCGTCTGCGCCCATTGGTGTCTCACGTTGGCGACGTTAGCTGCATGTTAGTGTTACGTTAGCTACATGTTAGCGACGTTAGCTGCATGTTAGTGTTACGTTAGCTACATGTTAGCGACGTTAGCTGCATGTTAGTGTTACGTTAGCTACATGTTAGCTACATGTTAGCGACGTTAGCTGCATGTTAGCGATGTTAGCGACGTTAGCTACACGTTAGTGTTACGTTAGCTAAAGCGTTAGCATTGGCAGTAATGGATGACATAAAGAGCGACTCCTCTACAGCAGAAGTGTAATTCAGCCTTCACTCTGTACTAACATCGTGTCATCTTTTCTAAACTGTCCCAAACAAGAAGTGCGATGTACGTTCCTCGTCTTGTGTCCGTCACATTAAATAAGAACGCTTCATGTTCATCTTGCTCATCGTCTTGTTGAATTTGTATCATGGGCCTCACAAAGCCCGTAAAGTTTTGCAGTTAAGTGCAATTTGCCCCTTATGTCTGATTGCAGTTATAATCGTGGCAAAGTATAAATGTTGGCTTTGAATGCAGAGAAATAGTGAGAGAAAAGGAAAATGAGGCAAGAAATTTAACACCACAGTTTAATTTATTTTTTATTTAAATACGTGTAAATAACACAGAAGCATAAGATGTTACAGCTCAGTTAGTGACCACAAGTTCAATGCTGTAAATTTAGATCATCTTAAATTGTCTGTGTTCAGTTAAAGAACTATTTCTTACTATTGTACAGCAGCTTTAAGATAAGTAGTTGTAGCAGCTATAAGACATTTATCTGACAGGCTTGTACTGTGTATATGTACTTAAAATGTCTGCTTTTCCCTCATCCTGCAAATTAATGCGACACTCTTTATGCTAATGTAAAATTGATGCTAATCCTTAGCTAATGGGACATTTTAAGATGACGATTTTAAAAGTCTTTTAAAAATGTTTGTACACTTAAATCACAGAATTTAAAACAACACTAATCATTTAGGATTTATTTTAAGGTTTAGTTACTTTAGCTTAAAGTGTAGCCGATAGCTAAAAACAAACAAAATAATTCATGACTGAAACCAACACCCTCTTGGATGCCAAGAGGGTGTTGGTTTCAGTCTCAGCTGCTCCTTTTGGATTTGGGACGACATTACAGTTGTTACTGTTTCCCCTTTTGTTGCGCTGTTACAGAATAAAATGACATGTCAGCAGGAAACCAAACACTTTAAATATTTAAATATGTTAATTATGAGGTGTCTCCCTCATCTGTACACTCCCTAATCTCCAACCTGTGGAAATACATGCTTTTTTTCTGTATTTCTACTCAGAAAATAGTCTCACATCATGCATAGGGATGCTGGAAGAAAATATAGGCTTGAGTTTCCTGGTTTGTCCCATGATAATCTGGATTACGTGGTCTTTCATGTCAAAAATAGGCTCCTGTTTTATGGGTACACTGGGTGGTAAATAATTTGTATGGTTTGTTTCACTGGTCTCATAACAGGAAGCACTTTACAGCCTGAACAATGTCTCGGGTATGGCATGTCATTCCTTAATGCCGGTTATATTTGACCTCCGCTGACAGCTGTATCATATCCTCAGATAACAGCTGCCGGCTCTCAGACGGGCATCAGACAGAATTAGAAAACGAGTGACAGAGTAGGAGAGCCATCTGGAGAGAGGGGAGCCACGACTGATGGCATTCTTATGATGGCCGCTGTGTTAATAACCTGAGAGTACAGTAAAACTGTGGAAGACCCTCTGACTTAGTGATACAACATCTTCTCCTTGGAGGCAGGAGGTGACCTGGTATCTCATGAAAACTGTCATTAGGACGAACAGGTAAAAAGAACAGCCGACAGTTTGTCCAATCTAATCTAACTATAAAGCAAAGGAATATCTGTCCGTCTGTCTGTGTGCTCTTTGCATATCTCCAAAACCGCTGATCTGATCCACTTCACACTTGTTGGTTGTTTAGATAGGGAGCCGAGGGATCGCAATGTCGAAACTGGTGCAATTTGGGATAGTTCAACATTAATAAACTTTGAATAAATAAGCAAACAGCCCTCTGTGTAGCGGTGGGGGCGGAGCTTGTGTAGTGGTGGGGGCGGAGCTTCAGGGCTCTACAGTCCAGCAAATCTTCTGCAGTGTGTGAACAGCGGCTCATTTGGGCCCAAGAGGGGCATACCCAGCCCAAAGTAAGGGCTTAGTGGGCCTCCAATGGGCTCTATTGTGGGCCCACACCATGCCATCCCTGGGTCATACTGTCGGCATGTAGTGGGCATACTGCGGGCAGACTGCGGGCATACTGCGGGCATAATGCGGTCATACTGCGGGCATACTGCGGTCATACTGCGGGCATACTGCGGTCATAATGCGGTCATACTGCGG